ACATACATACATACATACACATACACATACACATACACACACAAACAAACAAAAACACATTTATTATAATTAATATATATTTTATTTCAGGTAACGTTTATTTTATTTCAATGATGAATAATGATTTTTTTAGTGGTTTTAGTTTTAGTTTAGTTAACTATAATAACCCTGGTAGTCACTAGCAAAGCATTTGTTCCTGGACTATGTTTTCATTTGGAAATAAAATGGTCTGTGAATGCTATTTCATGTTGACTTTTAAGTCACTGTCATTAAGTAAAGGTAGAAGTCTCGTGGGCTGCACCAAATAAATCTTAAGATTAAATCTAGATTAAATCACGGTTTATCTAATAATTCTGTTGTACCTAACGTAGCAGACTTACATTCAAACCATCAGTTTGATCCTGGTTTTAATTTAGGCCTACATTTAAAACAGTTTACCTTTAATCCTGTTACTCCGTTACTATAAACTCTGATTTAAGTCTCGGTTGTGAATTAAACATACAGGTTAAAAGGAAATGCAATATTAACACAATTGCGGTTTAATTACAATAACAAATCTATCATGGCAGACAAAATTACTCGTTTTAAACTCAGGTTAGAATTTTAATCCCCGATTTGTTAATCTGTGTTTAAAATTAAATGGTGCAACACAGCTCGGTCAACAAATCATTGATTATTTCTACATTTTGGTTAATTTAATCCCACCCTTGTTCTCTGAGCTGTGATTAAGTCCCATGAGCGTGGAGGCGCTGCATGAGAACACATACCAGACGTGCTTCAGTGTCCTTACACACACAGCCAGATATGCTGGACCACAAACACCAAACATTCAGTTACGTAATCAGCCATTACAAGCATTTAACATCTGCACAAGAAAGAAACCGTAATATAGTCTCCAGTCAGCGAGTGTGTTTACATGCACGACACAATGCTTTTTAGAAACAGCTGAGGATATTTTATCACCTTTCTCAGTTTTTAAAACAAACACACATGCACACACCAGAATGGCGGTCAAGTAGTTTCTACAACTTAATGCATGCAAACACATTCAGTGACATAAGAGTAGACCTCTCTTATCCAGTTGTAAATGAGCAATACTGGGCAGAGAAAGAAAGCATGCAACTATTTCTCTCTGCAAGGGAGCTTTTTCCTGTGAGGAAATCTACACAGGAAGTACATAGTTTGATCTGCCCATAGATTACATCATTGTCTGACCCACTGTTCTAGATTCATGCCAACAGACATGACTCTTGTAAAACTTTAAGATGTGCAATACATAACCAACAACAGGAATTATGAAATCAATACTCTAATATTCAATAAAATTAAGCACTGTTGACATGTAGCAAACTGCACCCACATGACAAGTTCATCCACCAAGAAAAGTCCTCAAAATGACAATTTAGAAAACATCAAAGCAAGGTTTTTCTTTTAAACTGAAGAATTAATTAAGGGCTTTCAATGCCTTTATGATGCTTGGTTCAGAGGTCATCGCTGATGTGTCATCGCTACCTAAAACTATTAAAAATAATTTTTGGTATTTGAAATAAAACTGAAATAATATAAAATATAAATATTAGATGAACTTAAAACACTAAAAAATAAACAAATTGAAGTACTGCAATTACTAAAACTGAAATAAAAAATTAATCTAAATGGAAATATATATTAAAAAAAACGATTAAAAATGTCAAAAGCATGTAACAATTACAAAAAATATAAACAAATTACAATTAAACCAAAAATAAAAACTAGATCAAAATATTAATAAATATACTATAATAGTATATAAATACTAAAATAACACTGCATCGCTGTGGTGCTCACCTTGATGCAGTTGGCCAGGTCGGTCTGGTAATAGCGGTCGTGATGTGCATTAGCGGCCGCCAATGTGAGAAGATATTCGTTCCTCGCATGGGTCGCTTTGGAGTTACAATCGCTCCTCTTCGCTTTCAACTGAAACACACACATGAGGTCCAAAACTTCAAGAAGTGCAAAGCACAAGCCTCCATCGCAAAACTGCCATCGGTCACATCCAAATTCTGGCCTTTCCTCACTTAACACTATTAGAAGACTTGAAATATAGTGTACGAGTTGTATGGACTACTTTTATGGTGCCTTTTTGTAACTTCAAAGTGTAAATCATCTACTTCTACTCTAGTCCAGCTGTGCAAAATATGACAAAATGTTCATTTTTTTTTCAAATTCCCCTCCAGCACAGTCCAAAGTTGTGCTTGACAGAAGACCCAAAAACATAGTGGTCATGCTACACTAACATGGTATAAAGAGTAAATCAGGTTTTAGAGTGGAAGCAAAATGTTTCTCAAAGAAACAGACAGACGGTGGTGTTTACCTTCACACTGGCCTTCTGTAAACTTATCCTGGACTGGAACAGACCCAGCTTCGACCTGAGAGAACACAGAGCAGGTATTATAAATCACAGATATACCAGACCCGGCGGAAGGAACAGGTAGGATAAACGAAAGCCCAGATCAAATCCATCCCGGATTTGTGTCGAGGAGGAAACAGACATTATAAATCAAACTAGAGTGGATCACTCCTGCAACCTGTGAAAATAAGGAAGAGGCTTTATAAAGCTGGCACAAAATCTGGTTTTGCCATTGCTGAGATGACTTCTTATCTTAAAGGAACAGTTCACCCCCCAATTTTTTTTAAAATTTCAAACATGTATGACTTTCTTCTGTGGAACATAACAGCAGATATTTTGAACAATGTGCACACTACTCTTCACTATACAATGACAGTTGTAATTGCTAATTCAAAATATTAATAAATATTAATTCATAATAGTGAATATAATAGTATATATAATAGAACATAATAGTATAATAATACTAAAATATCACTGCCCTCCACTGCAGCTCTTATTCATGCTTCTGCATACTGAAACCAAAGCCATTTGGTGACATTGATGTCAAACTGCATGACTTGGTATCTTAATGAGCCAAGTTTGAAAATGTGGAAGCACAAGTGAGATTATCAGCAAATAACTGTTTCTCACATTAAGCAATCACATGACTTCAGAAGACTACAGCTTGTATGGACTACTTATATGATGCTTTTGGTCACAGAAAAGAGCATTTAAGACACTTTGTAAAACCACTTCTTTTGTGTACCATGGAAAAAAAAAAAAAAAAAAAGGTAATTTGGGTTATGATAACAATATTATGATTCATTTCTGGGTGAACTACTATATTCTTTGAAACCAAAAGTTGCTTTTTTATGACCAACTATGTTCAAATTCATGAACACAGGATGGACAAAATTGCACAAACCACCTATGAAAATTCAAAATTTTAATCTTAACATCCAATTTTCTGTGTTTATGTTAGATTTACATCTGGATTCAGAGATTACACCCACATCACAGAGCCCTATTCATTAGAGATCAGAGTTGTTTTGGGGTCTGATACAATTTGATTCATCAAATTTGCATGAAATTAAGAACAAAGACAGATTCTCTCCCATCTTCCTCCTACCGCTGAGAACAATAACTGATTCTAATTCAGCTTTACTGCCAAGCCATGCTAAGAAGGACAACATCAATAGCCAAAATCAATAGAAAAACTGAGCGAGGAGCTCACAACACCATGCCACTGGACTCGTCTTTCACCTCTCTGTCTAATCCGGTCTTGGCAGAGGCTTTGGAATGGCAATTGTAGTGTGGGTACAAATGGCCCTTAAAGATGGAGAGAGATGGTTAAGTGTGTTTAACAAATTCTGCATCAGGCTAATAAATTGCTTTGAACAGAGTGGGGTATTCCCTACTGGGGGCTTAAGTATCAGCCATGGAAATGCATATTTAATGAAGGCATCTCAACTCAGCGACACATCTTTTATATTCTTTGGCACTTTTAATGCTTTGAGTTTGTGATTCTGAGCCTAATATCTTCGATAAGGTGGAAAACCGCTCAGTGCAATAACATTTTAAATTTCAATACCAAAATATGCACATTTTTATGGAAAAGGCTCAAAAAGCTCAAATAGTAGAGCATGGCGCTAGCAATGCCAAGGTCATGGGTTTGATTCCCAGGGAATGCATGAACTGATAAAGTGCACCTTGAATGCAATTCACTTTGCATGATAGTGTCAGTCAAATACACAAATGTAAATAAAAGTAAAAGGATTTAAGCTCTACTGAAAACTAAAATTACAGTACCAAGGTATGCACATTTTTATAGAAAAGGCAGTCCTGTAGCTCAAACAGTAAAGCACGGCGCTAGCAATACCAAGGTCATGGGTTTGATTTCCAGGGATTGCATGAACTGATAAAGTGTAAAAAAAAAGTAATTTTATTATTTTTTTTATGAAAAAAAGGCTAAAAAAGCTGAAACAGTAGAGCACAGCGCTAGCAATGCCAAGATTATAGGTTTGATTCCCAATGTAATGTAAATAAATGTAAAATGATTCAAGCTCTACTTAAAAAAATAAAACCAAAATACGCACACTTTTTTTATAGGAAAGGCATTCCTGTAGCTCAAACAGTAGAGCATGTTGCAAGCAATGCCAAGGTCATGGGTTTGATTCCCATGGAATGTATGAACTGATAAAGTCTGCTTTCAATGCAATGCATGTTGCTTCACCAAATACACAAATGTAAATGTAAATAAAAGGATTTAAGCTCTACTGAAAAATAATTAAATTGCAATACCAAGATATGCACATTTTTATGGAAAAGGCTCAAAAAGCTCAAACAGTAGAGTACGGTGCTTACAATGCTGTGGTCATGGGTTCGATTCCCAATGTAATGTACATAAATTAAAAAATGTATGTAATTTACATAAATGTAAAAGGATCAAAGCTGTATTGAAAAATAATACAATTACAACTCTCAGATATGCACATTTTTATGGAAAAGGCATTCCAGCAGAAGCATGGCGCAAGCAACACCAAGGTTATGGGTTTGATTCCCAAGGAATGCATGAACTGATAAAGTGTAACTTACCTTTTCAAAAGGTACTATGTACATTTTAGGTACTAATATGCACTTTTAAAGTATTAACATGCACCTTTAAGGTATTTATATGTATCATTTAGGGGTAAACATGGTACAAAGAAGTAGCTTTTGTAACTTAGAGTACTGCCCCAGTGACAGCTTCATACATTTTTTTTCTGAGAACGTAGTGGTTATTCTTTAATTAATGGGACAAGCACTTGTGAAGTGTGTGTTTCTGATCTGGGCACCTCTGGGACCGTTTGCACCTGCAATACCAGACGCACTTACTTGGACTCAATGTCGGCCTTTTCCCGCACAGCCTGGGCCATCTGCTCCAGCTCAAAGTATTTCTTTTTGGACTTGGCCAGATCCTTCGCTGAATCCTGGAGCTCTGCCTGGATCCGACCCAACTGCTCAATGCACTGCGGGTGGCCGTCGCGGGACAGCAGAGAGAGAGACACAGAGAGAGAGAGAGAGAGAGAGAGAGAGAGAGAGAGAGAGAGAGAGGGGATGTTAAAGAATTACATGATGGATCAGATCAGGGCACAGGACACAGGACCGAAGTTGGTACCTTTTTCAGCTGCTGTTCTTTGTAGAGGCGTAAGGTTTTGGCGGGGTCTGAAATCTCGTTCTTGTAGTTCTCGCAGACGTTGAGTCGAGACTGGGTCACCTGCACGGTGCCTTCAAGATAAGCCCGCCACACTCCATACACATTCCTGCAGCAGGAAAAACATGGTTACTGATTGCAAATACTATTTATGGAGTGCTATTCCCATGCAAACAAAAGCAGGAGCCCTATTCGGACAGTGTCTGATTGCATGCATGTACAGTAAAAGAACATTAGCATAGTTCCTTCGCAACAAAACTTCCACTGCATTCAGATGGCGATTTATTCACAGGTCGTCCTTCAAAACTGTAAGTTTGTTTCACACATGGTCAGTCATGATCATAATTAACTTATTTAAGGTAAATAAAATGTTTCCTACTTAAGGAAAAGCATCTATTTTAATAAAGTCGATAAATTGGCTCCTAGTCACTGTAGTGGGGCGGCCATTTGATTTAATTCAAGTAGTTCATTTCAAACAGCTATCCAAATATTCATTACCATGCAAACTGTCAATCAAAAAAAATAAAATCGCAATCCTACAGTAGTCATAAAAGGTTTGACAATTTTTGGCCCAATTTCTCTTAAAGGCATAGTTCATCCAAAAACGAAAAAATTGCTGACATTTCCTCACCCTCAAGTTGTTCCAAACCTGTATGAATTTCTTTCTTTTGAATATTTTGAAGAATGTGGATAACCAAACAGTTTCTGGTACCAATTGACTTTCATAGGTTTTTTTTTTCATTAGCTTTTTCTTTAGTCATTAGCTACAAGCAACTGTTTGGTTACCAACATAATTCAAAATATCTTCTTTTGTGTTCAACAGAAGAAAAAATCATACAGGTATGGAACACCACGAGGGTGAGTAAATGATGACAAAACTTTAATTATAAGATAATTATATATTATTATAATTATAAGATTCAGGAAACACAAACTATCACTGTAAAGCACCCATAGGGAAACAACAGTCATTAAACAACAAGATCCTTATGATTTCACCCTAAACTTGTAAAAGAGGATGTTTTATTCACCTGTAGTCTGTCCTCTGGTCATCTGGTTTGATCCCAGGCCAGTCCCTCTTTAAATACTGACTCGCCAACTTCTGCAGGGCCTGAAAAATATAAAAATAACAGAAAACAGCATAAGATGCTTGAATGTGTTCGGTTTCTCACACTACATCCCAGTTCCATTGCTATCCATCCCAAATAGTAAGCAAAATACAAATTAGTATGTACAAAATCTTAGTATATTTATAACAGCATGCCAAAAGATCCCATTAAATGGTTTTTTAGGTAATATCACCCAATCCCAACATACTTTTTCCGTTGATTAAAAGGCTGTATATAAATGAATCTAAAAGTTATGCATTCATGAATATTAAGCTAATAAACTTAGCTATATGTTAATTTATACAATCAGACACTAACAGAAAACAACAAGGTCAACAAGACATTTCATGATGTGGACGTCTGCTGTACTGTTTTGCTGGTAGTGTGCAGTCATCTGTTATTTTGTTTTCGAATATGAACACAAAGCAATTAACAGGCCATATGAGTGTTCTCATGACCCTGTCATCGAATGCCATTTATCATGGATTAACACAAGCCCAGACACACGACACGTTACAAAGCAACCCAAATTCCAACGACCGTGACATATGTTTGCTGTTGGTAAGAAGAGCGGGGAGTTTGCGTTCTCCTTTGGGAACGTGAAAGGCCTCCGCTCCAAATTACACTTCCATAACTGCACAAACGCCACCTAACATATGGCAAAACAAACAAGGCGGCCTCACTTCATAACATGTTCTCCATTCCGCCATATTGTAAATGGAGGAGAGAGATGCACCTCTATGCGAGGCCGATTAGCCGCTGGCTTTCGTTGTGTCCCATCCCCACCTGCCCGATTCCCAGATACCAAACAACGGCGCTCAAAGCGGCTCGCTGTGAGCACAACATCTACAGTGTGTGTGCGGATGAGAGAATGGCATATGTTTGTGTAAGCAGCAGGGAATGAGGCAGAAGAAAGGAGCCGTTCTCCTCGGCTGAGGGCGGCGGTGTGGCAGAGACTGGCCTCTTTCAGTCCCTCAACAGGACGCTACAGATCAGCTGGGCTGACGTCTTTTATTTTCCTTCCTCTGCATGACTCCCTCTGCGTATTACAATAATCACTGGACGTGTTTTTCTAACACTCACATCGCCGCTGGACACACACTCAAACTTAAGGCGAACAAGACAGTATGACATTTGACATAAAAAGGTCAAAGAGAAAAGGAAACACAAATGTCTTAGTGTGCACTAGGGCAGGGCGAAATATTAAAAATATTAAAGGGGTCATATGATGCGATTTCAAATTTTCCTTTCTCTTTGGAGTGTTACAAGCTGTTCGTGAATAGATAATAACGCGTAAAAAGTAATTAACAGTAAAACAGTAATTATGTCCCCACTGGATGAAACAAATGCCTCGTTTATAATGGGTTTTACTGGTTTTGTCTAATCGCGCCGGGACACAGCATCACAGTATGGTAAGGGGCGTAACATTTCCTTCACACGCTTGAGGTATTCGGCAAAACACAACGCACTGGATAGCTGGCCAATCAGAGCACACCTCACTCTTCAGACCGATGAGCTTTGTAAATATCGACGCGTTTCAGAAAGGCGGGGCATAGAGGAGAAACAATAATGTACAGTATGTGGAAAATAATGTGTTTTTTTAACCTTAAACCGCATAAACACATTTCATTACACCAAATACACAAAATAATGTTATTTTTTAGCAACGTCATATGACCCCTTTAAAGATTTTCTACAACCTTCATAAAAAGGTTTTCTATTGCAGACAAGATTGTACTGAGCATATTGCAGTTGATTTGAGTACTATTCTTTTCCTCTTTCCTTCTTTTTCTCAGAATGGAAATACAACCCAGGGGGCCTCTCGTCTCTGTCATCTGATTTGAAGTTCAAACTTCCTTCCTTACACAAAATAATGTTATTTTTTAGCAACGTCATATGACCCCTTTAACAATATACTCATTATGATTTTGCTGCCGATATAAACGTAATTAACACTGAAAATCACAATGATTGCATGTAATTTTTCTGTCTTTGGACTAGTTTTCCAATCCTTCAAAAAACTAAAAATTATTTCTGTGATCTACTTTAAAATGTCTATTTCAATTGATGATCAGTTCAAAATGACCACATTTCTCTTCACAACATTTTCATAGATTTTAGTAAAATATATGACGATAAATGCTAAACAGAACAGTGTCGTTCAATATCATTTATAAATGCTGCTGTTTACACTGGTGAACATAAATAAACATATATTTATAAATTATGAAATATTATACTGATATTACATATGCATTGTGTTCATTTAGAAAAACTGTGTAGAAAAGTTGTTTTGATTATGTCCTCTGATCAGCTGATTCAGGGTTCAGTTTTCATTATATTCAATATACATTAAATAAACAAACAAACAAATAAACAAACAAACCGTTTAGCAAATACATACATATGAAACATCTTCAAAAGTAAACAAACAAACAAAAACATTTTTTAAATAAATAAAATAAAACAAAACCCTTTTAGCAAATACATAAATAATATATATCTGAGTGAGTAAATAATGACAGAATATGTTCAAAGTCCCAAAAACTAAATATAATTAAAACAAACTGTAAATAAATAAATGAATCAAGCAATAAATAAATAAATCCTTTTAGAAAATACAGAGCTGTATAGCTGTATACTGAATATCATCAACAGCCAAAAAAAAACATTAATATACTAGCTGTGCACTAAATGGCTTACAGTATTTTCATTGATCTTTTCTATTTCAAATTACTTCAAGAACAGTGGAATATAAAACATCCTTTTTCTTATATATGCACATCCCACAAACTTTCATAATATGTATCTTCACTGAGAAACACAACCACAACACAAAATAAAGAAACAAAGGGTAAAAAACGGGTACTGGACATGCTGTCTCAATGACTGGTGAGAACGGCACCAGAGAGACTGACACAATATCGACAACACGACTGCCGTTTCTTCAGAAGTGAGCCGTAGCTTCTGCCAGTGGTAAACAAGAACTTCACATGAAAGAAACAGGAGCCACTAATGTTAACATGAAGAAGGAGCCCGTCTAAACATGCAAACAGGCAAATCTGACGAAACAAGTGAAAGATTCAGAACCGTCCTGTCAAATAGGCCTGAATGTCTGAAACAGTTAAGGGGTCAAACCTGGTGCGTGAAAAGCATGTAAGCATGAATCTTTCTATCTCAGCATACATAATGCATACATTCTCAGCAAACTAAAGCATTTTGTCCAGGGAGGCGTTCAGACTCGGCTGATTGTTGCTTCCAGATGAACGTCAGTCTACAGGCGTGTGTCGCGTCTCCTGAAGCGTAGAAGTCAATTCGAGACTTTTGCAGTCAAGCTCGGGTAATTACAGGCAAACACAGCACTTCATCTCCATAAACACCTGGTGGAGCAGTTGTCATGGCAACCGGAACAGTCATCCTGTGTGGTCTAGATAAGGCGGACCACTGCTTTGAATCCGCACTCTGATAAGGTGTGGTCCAGCTACACAAAGCTGAGCTGTATTCAGTCAAGAGGGATCCCGGGAAAAATTCACTGAGGTCATTGCATTAATGACCCTGACTGTTTTTTTCTGATTTCACATAAAAATGCAATATCATCTCAGAAACAAGCAAGCATGAAGTATGTAATTTCTGTGACTCCTGTGTCACCAAATAGAAATGCAAATATATTAATTGCAAGTTAAAAACTGCAATTGTGATTTAAAATGCCTTGTTTTCCAGGTTTGCTGTGCTTGTTTTTAGGGCTGCAAATTGGGACAAAAATGTTTAATTATATATAAATTAGGGATGCACCGATACCACTTTTTCCAGTACTCGCCCGATACCGATACTTCTATTTTTGGTACTTGCCGATACCGAGTACCGATACCGATATTTTTATTGCATTTGTACATTTTTTAAATATTGGGTACAGAAACCAAAAGGGTATGTATAATGTTAGTTGGTTAACTTCATTTATCAAATAGATACAGTCCGGTGCATCCCTAATATAAATATGACTATACAATAATAATATTAATAATAATAATAATTATTATTATTATTACTATGACTACTAATACTACTAAATAAAAATATTAACAAAATAAGAAATTACAATTGCAATATTTCACTGTAAAATTAAAATTCAAGTATTTAAGAATTTTTTTATTTTATTTTACAGTACAACTGTAAAATTACAGTGCTAATAATTATTTTTATTTATTTATTTTCAAACATTAAACTAGCTTGTATTTCGGCAGAAAACCAGATTATGGTCAGCTAGTAATAAGAGACTTGTCATTTGCACTTGTGTATTGTTGCTCTTTTGTTGGTTTTGACTGCTTTTATTGTCCTCATTTGTAAGTCGCTTTGGATAAAAGCGTCTGCTAAATGACTAAATAAATAAATAAATAAATAAAATATGAGAAAGAAACATCAATTAAAATACAGACTTCAACTGAAACAAACATAATATCCATTAAAGCAAACCTGTGTAAATTCAGAATGCAATAGTGAGTAGGTTGTGTGAATTACTAGCTCTTAAAAATCCCTGAATTAGGCTGTCTCTATTACTAGCTGACCATAATCTGACAATTTTCTTAAGGCCATTTACGTAAATCTCTTGCAATAAAAAGCACAGCTAGACAAAGTCTAGAACTATTCTATAACGAAAAACAAACAAGAACCATGAACTATTTAAAATGCAATGGTCAAAGTCATCTATAGATGCGGCTATTTAAAGTGGATGCATTTAAAGATGAGATTTTAATAAAACATCAGCAGTTTTAGGCTCATTCTGCTGTGACATTACTCTTTTAATGCCTTCTTCAGTCCTTACTCTCTCCGAGGCGTCCTCATCTGACCTGCTGAGAGCAACCAGCTAATCACATTTCAGGGCACTAATTAAAGGTCGTCTAGAGCATCTGAAGCTGCAATGTGTCTCTTCTCTCTTATCATTACAGGCTAAATGTAAGATAAAGGGAAAGTGAAATGGGAACTGGCCTAAATGCTAGACAATATACATAGAGGTTATACAGTGCAGTAAAATACAATGTGTAGAGATTACTCTGTAAAGCCTGGTTTGTGGTGCTTTATTACTAGCTGACCATAATCTGACAATTTTCTTAAGGCCATTTATGTAAATCTCTTGCAATAAAAAGCACAGCTAGACAAAGTCTAGAACTATTCTATAACGAAAAACAAACAAGAACCATGAACTATTTAAAATGCAATGGTCAAAGTCATCTATAGATGCGGCTATTTAAAGTGGATGCATTTAAAGATGAGATTTTAATAAAACATCAGCAGTTTTAGGCTCATTCTGCTGTGACATTACTCTTTTAATGCCTTCTTCAGTCCTTACTCTCTCCGAGGCGTCCTCATCTGACCTGCTGAGAGCAACCAGCTAATCACATTTCAGGGCACTAATTAAAGGTCATCTAGAGCATCTGAAGCTGCAATGTGTCTCTTCTCTCTTATCATTACAGGCTAAATGTAAGACAAAGGGAAAGCGAAATGGGAACTGGCCTAAATGCTAGACAATATACATAATGGTTATACAGCGCAGTAAAATACAATGTGTAGAGATTACTCTGTAAAGCCTGGTTTGTGGTATATGGGTATGTGCATTCAGTGCGTACTTTAGTAGATGACACATAAAGAGGAGTGGAAATGCAAATGTGTGTCATTACAGTAGACTTCGACGCTCTAAGATCTGTGTTATTTATAGAAATGACTACCACAGTAAGCTTTTGCTGTGTTCACTACCTTTAAAAAGTTTGGGGTTGGTAAGAAGTCCCTAGAAAGGCTGCATTAAAAAAAAAATCTGAAATATTATTCTAATTTAAACTATGTGTTTTCTATTTGTATAGATTTTAAAAAGTAATTTATTCCTGTGATGCAAAGCTGAATTTCCAGCATCATTACTCCAGTTGAAGGTCTTTACTGACACTTTTGATCAATTTAATGCATCCTTGCTCAATAAAAATATAAATTTCTTTAAAAAACTGACCCTCAAACATATGAATGGTAGCAAAAAGGAACGAGCTCCTCGTTTTGTCCTCGCTGGTCGTTCGCCACCTGGTTCTGTCTCCGCTTCACGCCCCGTGGTGGCGTGTAAAGATCGCAGTCATCCAAATGATGAAAAAGTATTACCGTAAACAATGTATTTTGCGACACCACGAAATAAACGATGGCGCATAATATGAAACGATAGACTTTTTATTTCGTACATCCGATATATATCGTCATATCGCACAGCCCTACTGGAAAATATAATAATAGAAAATAAAATAAAATAAAAAATTATATTAGATGAAAAACTTAAATGGGACAAAAAAATACAAATGTCATCTTGGCAACTAACTTTGTAAAAGAAGGGTAAAAAAAATAAAATAAAATAAAAACTAAAACAGAACTAAAACTGAAACAAAAATAAATGAAACATGAAAGGCAATATTTAAAAAAAAAAAAAAAAGATGACAAAAACACCTAAAAACTACTAAAATTTAAACTGAATAAAATATAACAATAAAAGCAAATTCATGATATTAATAAAAATGGAAAATATAATAATAGAAAAATAAAATAAAATAAAAAATAATATTAGATGAAAAACTTAAATGGGACAAAAAATACAAATGTCATCTTGGCAACTAACTTTGTAAAAGAAGGGTAAAAAATAAAAATAAAAACTAAAACAGAACTAAAACTGAAACAAAAATAAATGAAACATGAAAGGCAATATTTAAAAAAAGAAAAAAAAGAAAAAGATGACAAACACCTAAAAACTACTAAAATTTAAACTGAATAAAATATAACAATAAAAGCAAATTCATGATATTAATAAAAACTATAATATAAATACAAAAATTTAAATAATACTAAAATAAAGAGAAACACAAGGAACCAAAAGAAGTGTGACAGTTAGAATGACGGAAATAAAGACACAAAGTATCTAAAAAAAAAAAAAAAAAACACCCACGTAAAGAAAAGAAGAGAGTCATAATCCAAGCATGACATCACAAAGAGAGGAAAAAGAAACTTAAAAATCACAAAACGGACTAAATAATAATCACACGGGGGAGGGTCTGCGCTGGTGTGCGTGTGTTTGTGAAGCACACGTTGGCCCGGGGTTTTCAGGCTTCAGTCTGCACAAGCTGTTCTTTGTGCGTCCCTCTATAGTAAGGTCAGTTTCCAGAACCGGCCCGACCTGGCCTGTGTCCTCTCACAGGGGCACAAATGGGGGCATTGAGTGGGCACTGCACTGCCTTTGAGCTCCGATAAAGCACCCAAAACGGCTGCTTCATCCTCTGAGCCTTTCCGGCATCGTCCAGGTCCATTTTTTAGTGAAGTGAGAGTTCATTCGTGCCCTCGTTCTCCATGGTTCTGGACTGAGGGGTGAACGGGCTTTCGGCTGGTTCTGGCGTGGCATTGTCCGGTGGGCGGGACGGCCCGCAGCTTGGCACCCGGCTGAAAGCAGTAAAAGCGAATGATTTATGTGCTGTGTAAAGTTTGACTGACTCTAAACGATTGGACAGACCTCTGGGACTGTATAAAGAACAGCGTCGTTTATTTTAAATAGCGAACAAGTTTGTACAATATACCGCTTTTTATGCAACTAGGATGCCGTCCAAATGCTCCAGGGCCTTCATACCTTAACAAGAGTCTGCTGACAAAGGCAGTAACAACAGCTCTCTAGAGCAAACATATATTATACAATGCTGGAAAAGAGTTTACAATTAAAACACTCAATCATTTCACCCCGTAATCAAAAGACAATAAGTTTTGCATAAAGAAATAGAAGAATTTTTTTAATTTTAAATCAGCATAATTAAACGGAAGTAACAGAGTAAATAAAAATAGTTGTTTATTTAAATTGACACTTTTGTATTTAAATATTTACATAATATTTATTTATTGATTGTCATTGGAATACAATATTATTAAGCAATAAAATATTTTTTTTATTTATATCAGTATTTTAATTAAAATTAAATACTAATATTTAATTCTGTATAAACACAATTGTTAAATAATAAAATATATAATCTAATAATATATATGGAATGCAAAAAGTTCCTAAAATGTAATAAAACATTGAAAGATATCATATAAGAAAGAAAACATCTCCACACCAAACATCACAAAAAATCTCCACACATCACAAAAAAACAGCAACAACACAAGCGTATGATATACTGAGGCTTCAAACCGCAGAAAACCACAACAGGCAACAGTGAACATCCACAGGTCACTGACCTCTCATGCAGGTTTCATTTTCTTGAAAATGTGCATTTTCTCAAAAATGAAACCGTTTAATCTCTTTGTAAATAAAACTGGGAAGAACAGCATCCAGGTGAGATCTCAAATGACTCGACAGCGTAAAGGCCAAAATTAGTACTTAGTCATTTTATTTTCAGTTTTTGACTCAAGCCAGAGTTATTATAGTTAACTAAAACTAAAATGAAAACCATAAAAACGTTAGTTACTTGAAATAAAATAAACTTTAACTGAAATAAAGTAAAACATAGCTTTTTCCAGCTAGTTGCCAAGGCAACATTTGTCAGTTTCATTTAGTATAACTTGGTGTACTAAAATAACTAAAACTGAACAAAAAATTTATAAAAAAACAACATAGTAAAAAAAATTAAAAATGAATAAAAATGACTAAAACTAACGAAAAAATTAAATAAAAACACATAAAAATAAAAACAATCAAAATATGAATAAAAACTATAACAGTAAATATATTACTTGATATATAAAGCAGACTAAATACAAGGTTTGGTCATCCCGCAAACTGCAGGGTTGTAGAGAAGAAAGAGAATGAGAGAGCGAGAGACATTAAACATAAGAGGACTGAGCATGTCGAGGCTTTGAATCAATTCCCCTGTGTGCTGATTCAGTTCAAAGCTCTTCTAATGGGACGGTGTCCTGACATCCAAACACTCCTCTCATGCACTACATATGCTTTATGCTGCTGCTGAAAGGGAAACGCTTAGGGTAAGATGGTCATTTGTACCCCGGGGCTCCGTGCCTGCCATATGCTGCATGTTCCTCTCATGTTCCTCGTGAAAGCCGTTTTCTCCTGCTTTCTCTGTTGCTCTCTTGTGCTGATAATACGGAGGGATCATGCGTGTGGTCAAGGGTCTCGTCAGTGAGAACCAGGATAAAGGTGAACAGTGAAAGTCCAGACGAGAAGGTATGGTCTTCAATAAGTAATATAGGGGGGTTACATAGATGTGCAGACAATACAATTCAACAATATGGCATTATGTTATTCACAATCTTCAAAAATGTGCTGAAAATGCAAATGTAACTTGACTAAAGAGCGAAGAAATGATTAAAATATTCAATTAAACAAAAACAACTGACTAAAACATATGTAAACTTCAAAATTACTACTTACACTACAGTTTTTGAAAGAAAGAAAGAAGTCTCTTGTGTTCACTAAGGCTGCATTGATTTGATCAAAAATCCAGCAAAATTTTGAAATATTATTGCAATTTAAATGAAATGTTTTCTATTTGAATATATATATAAAATGTAATTTATTCCTGTGATCAAAGCTGAATTTTCAGCATCATTACTCCAGTCTTCAGTGTCACATGATCCTTCAGAAATCATTCTAATATGCTGATTTGCTGCTCAAGAAACATTTCTGATTATTATTTATGTTGAAAACAGTTGTGCTGCTTCATACTTTTGTAAAAACTGCGATACATTTTATTTTTCAGGATACTTTGATGAATAGAAAGTTCAAAAGAACAGCGTTTATTTGAAATAACATTATAAATGACTTTACTGTCACGTTTGATCAATTTAATGCATCCTTGCTCAATAAAAGTATTAACTTTTTTTTGGGATTGTATAAAGCACTATATAAATAAATGAGACTACTTGACATTTTCTGATTTTGGTTGTTGCCAGGGTGTTGCTATGCAATTGCAAAGGTGTTCTGATTTGATATTATGCAGTTGCTAGGGTGTTTTTTTTTTTACTAGACAGTCAAAAGAATCCATCCTTAAATCATGCTATACTGGTGTCTAGAAACGTATCGGGTCCCTGAAATATAACACATAGGCTTGCGAGGTAGTGCAGAAGATGCAAAAGGGTTCAGAAAGGCGTAGACACCAGGGGGTGGTGAAGACTAATTCATCTCATCTGTATAACGCTCGTCTGTCCAGAGACCCAGTGCAACACTGACCAAACCTCTGGTCCGCCTTTCACCCTGTGACCTCTGACCTGCTGGCCCACGATTTAATGACTCCTCTGAGAGATACGGACCCCAAACGCGTCGCTCTGCAAAAAGAGCCGCCCGGGTTTGAGTCCAAACAGACCTCAAAACAGCACTGGATTCTGGCAGGAACACAAACTGCGCTTGGATTTGGCACTGATGTCGAATCCCTCTGCGCAAACTCGAAATGAACATGAAACACAAACGTCTAAGGGACCACACACATTATCGGACGCCTCCAGCGAGCTCACACGTCTAAACATCACACCCAGCCTGTCCTTGGGGCCGGCGCTGCCACATTATCAGTTTTAATGGAGACATGGCACATTAAAACACTATTAAAGTGTGCCAGCACCGCTCACAAAGGAGTGTGAGAATCGATCGTGGCCATTTTACGTTTCGTCATTCTGATTAATACAGTAAGACACAGCGGGTGGGGTGAAAGCAGGTGTTGTGTTGCGTTACATGATGAAAATTCCTATGGAAGGAGAGCGTCTTTAAACGGCAAGGGCGGGAAAGGACCTGATAGAGACATCTGGTCTTGGAATGACCTGCTCCAGAAAACAAAAACAAAACAACATGCACCCCGACTCTGACCCCTCACGTTTCTATGGCAACAGCCCCTTTCCCGCCCATCTTTTACTAATAGAGTCAACCTGCACGTCAACATCAGTGCTAATTCAATCCCAATTCACACACTTCAACTAAACAGTAGCTTAACATTAGAAAGCACTACTGCATTTTAATTCTGCATCTGGAATGCACAGACTTCCGTCACCTACTGTAAGCATTTGAAATGTTAGGGGCCGTTCACACACAATGCATTTTTGCATTCCACTGTGCTGCTTTTCCATTGTTTTTCTATGTAAATCTGAGTTAGACGACTCTTTTGCGGTGTCTCGCACATTCTAAACACACAGCGGTCAAGTTAAAAGTTGTTCAACCTTTAAAAAACGTGGCTGAAAACCATGAGATTTTTTGTTCCACTGCCCTGTCTTGAACAAAAAATCTTTACTGCAAAAGCGCATTCTGTGTGAATGGCCCCTTAGCATGTAGTTAAAACTGCTACTTTAATATATACAGTGGGTACGGAAAGTATTCAGATTTTTCACTCTTTGTTATATTGCAGCCATTTGCTAAAATCATTTAAGTTAATTTTTTTTCCTCATTAATGTACACACAGCACCCCATATTGACAGAAAAACACAGAATTGTTGACATTTTTGCAGATTTATTAAAAAAGAAAAACTGAAATATCACATGGTCCAAAGTATTCAGACCCTTTGCTGTGACACTCACATATTTAACTCAGGTGCTGTCCATTCCTTCTGATCATCCTTGAGATGGTAAAATTAACTTAAATGATTTTAGCAAATGGCTGCAATATAACAAAGAGTGAAAAATTTAAGGGGGTCTGAATACTTTCCGTACCCACTGTATATGGCTTTCATATTTACTGCCATTTTTCTGAAGGAAATCAAAGTCTTAAACTCGAGCAAGCGGTTGTGGGTAATATTATCATAAAACATTAGTACAAAAGTATGCACAGAGCCTTTGAAACATCACCAGAAATAGTACGGCATTCAGGTAGGGCTTCACAATTTGGGAAAAAACAAATGTAATCTGAACATGATTTGAGCATTTCAAATAAATAAATAAACTCCAGATTTACTGTGCTTGTTTTTAGGGCTACAAAATTTGGCCAAAAAAAGTATTATTTATTATATATCAATATGACTTGAATAATAAAACAATAATACTTATAATATTGTATATTATATTATTATATATTGTAGTAGTAATAATAATAGTATCATTTTATTTTTCTTATTACAACAAAAATATTAATATTGAAAAAATATTAATATTGCTATTGTAATATTTTACAGTAAAAAAATTAACAGTTATTTATTTTTGACAGTAAATTAAATAAACAGTATTTACAATTATGTAAAATTATTATAATGAAATTATTGCTGTTGTTATTTTGCTTTATTATTATTACAACAAAAATGTAAAAAGATATTATAATTGTAATACTGAACACTGAATTTTGTAGGCGAGTAAGGGCGTGTTCACACTTAGCGTCTTTTTTGACAAGAA